CTTCTTATCAAAGCTTTATTTGTCAAAGTCCAATGATAATATAAGAGGTTCTTTCCCTTTCACTTGATCAACAAATAGTCTATCAGAATGACAGATTCATCTGAATTGGATGTATTGGAATCACTGTAATTGTCCGCCCGTCTTGAAAAACGTGCAACGTGATACCGCTGACCTCGTGCTAAGGCATCATAAAAATCAACCCATGGGGGTCCCTAATTATTGTATTTTAGAATGAATTGAATAAATTTATATCGAAAACTGGCCAATGTGGCTCAAAACGGGAAGAAAGTGGCTTCAAAGAACCTCAAAAAGCCCAAAGCTGTCGGAAATTCCAAAAGTTACCAAAATTCTAAAAAGTTGCCGAAAATCTCAAAAGTTGCCGAAAAGTTGCCGAGCAACTTGTGGCTAAGCCTACTCTTCAGAAAGTGATTTCCTAATTACTTTCGACATGCTTTCCTTGTTACTTTTGGTGTTATCTGAAATCTGGAAGATTTTGTAAATTAGTTTCTCGGTAGAATTTATCTCTAAAAAAATAATATTGACTGAGAAAGGTATCCATGTAGAAGTACTGACCTTGTTATGGGGATATTTTATTATCTTTCTCATGAATCTTTACAGGGCAGTCACATTTTTTGGTGTCTTGGACTATAAACCGGCGCTTGATGTGGTGGTAGCTATGATCAGGAACATTCTCCTGAAACAGTTATGATAATATCTAATTGGTTAGAAAAATTTTTGAGAAGGAAAATGAACTATAAAAGTGTGTAAGAAGTACCAGTAAGTGGGTGGGATGGGTATGTTAAGAGAAGTCAGGGTCCTACTCTGTCCAATAATTCCATTGAGCCATCAAACTATTTTCTCTTTTCCTATGGCCTGAGCCATCAAACTGTTTTCTCTTTTCCTATGGCTGGAGTATTAGTAGCAATATATATCTGACTGATTTCATTAAAACGTGGGCACTAGGTTTTTACTTGCATTCTGGTGTCCAAAAAATTAGGGGGCTGCCCTAACAGCGGGTGGGTGGATCAGGCCAGGGAGTCAAAACAAGTGGGGTAGGAGGGGGCTGTTTTGACACAACCCCTCCAGTGGCGTTCAGTAGACGTTTTGATTTGCAACTACCTTTTTCTCAATTTGCCAGCTGAATCAGGCCTCTGCTGAGAATGATTATCATGATAATTGCAGAGGTCAGTGGGAGATGTGGACAGTCACCCATTGTCCTGGGTGGGGAGGGTCAAGTCAAAGTTTTGATACCAAGGACTCACTTAGCAGCTGAAATGCAACTGTTTGAGACTCTAAGGATATCAATAAACACACTCTTGCTCGATTTATTTGATTTTAGATACAATGAAATATATGAAGTTCATATATTTTGATTTATCACTTTCACGNTTATAATAAAACAATTATTCCACTCGCTCTTGTTGGATATCTATCACCTCATATTCCACTCGCGCCTCGTTGGCTATCTATCACCTCATATCCAACGCGCGCTCGTGGAATAATTGTTAAATAGCGTTTAAAAAGCGCCCAGATGATCCAGTTTTTAAAAGGGACGGATAACGCTATCCAGCGGACGAATCGCTTTCTGTCGTAAAAGTTTTACCAAAGCGCACTGGTTTTACCAAAGATTTAGCGCCAGCAATGAGCCCGAATTTCAGCCGGGAAAAGAGTACTATTTTATAGGTAGGTCGGTCCAACCATTTCAAGTAGCATGATAAGCATGAATTAAGTATGCATTTTGATTGATCCCTACTTATGATCCGATGGAGAACAGATGCATAGATTACGTCACCATGACAAGTTTTTGCCTCTTGATTATTTAAAACAAATAGATTCACGTGATGTTGCCATGGGTCTTTTCTGTGATAAATCACAGAAGACGTCATGATCAGTGACACGCCCGGCTGCGCCTCGCATGCCACTTTTTTATTCTTACCTCATTTTGACGTCAACTGTGATCTATTTCTAAGCAGACTCACGACGGGATGGAAACTATTTATCAAACTGACAATACCTGGCTTGAACCTGGAAGTTAGAGATGTAGCGAAAGTCATTGTTATCAAAGTCGAGTTAAGGCGAGTCAGATCATGGTGACTTTTACTTAGAGTGTAGAATGTCAAACACTGACACCATCAACAGTCTTTTCCAGGACCACGCTGACGTGGATAATCACACGCGCTTGCGTGCACCCATCCTTCTTCCTCCCCACATCGAACTATTACGTGCACAGTTTGGGCAATGAAAAAAATAAAACAAACAAACAAAAAAAAAACAAGTACCATTAACACTGTCTTTTTTCCCTTTACACCGAGAAGTGTTTCGCACTTTTTGAGCCAAGTTGTTATTAATGAGAGTTTTCTAACATTTTCTCAGTAAGTTTCTCCATGAGTGTTGGATTCTTTTTGTCATGATTCTTCAAATTTGCAATTTCCTGCTTCGTGCATAGTAATGCAGATACAATACTTGATAGTTCATTAGTGAAAAAAAACAGAAAATAGAATTTTTTTTTTTCTTGTTCAAGAGCAATTACTTTAAGCAAGAAGATTTAGACTTCTAATTAGGACGTATTAAATGCCTGGAATAATTTTTAATGGTGTTATGTTTTTCTATCGACTAGCAACTTCAGATACAAGGAAAACGTCCATTTAACAGTACGTCTGGAGGAAACTGTAGGACAAACAGGATGAAGCTGAAATTCCATGTTTGTACAAGCAATACAGGTAGGTCGCTGTAAAAACTTTCGAGAGAAGTCTTTCATTTTAGAAGATGGAAAAAGAGGACTGATTTACATTGCCATTGCTGCTTCCGGGGTTAAAAAAATCAACTGATCACACAATAAGGAAGGAGCGATAATTGCAGCTAAAGTAAATTGAAACAATCACAGTAATTTGTCTAGAACCAGTTCAAGTTAAGGTAGCACTAAACTAAATGATTTAAATTGAATTCACTTCATGCTTTCCTTAGTATATTCATTGATGTGACCAAATCATGAAGCATTTTCGCAGACTGATATCAGGAAGGATTAATAAGTATTTCAGGTGCAATCCTGCGACCTTATTTTTATAAACTTTCTTTCCTTTTCGATCTCTTTCTTTGTAGATCCACGTTGCAAAAGTGAAGACATGTGTAACGGTGTCTACCCAACACAATCGCAGACTTCATCCAGGCCTACCAACCCACCCACAACTATTGAATCTCATTCAACTATCAAAAACAGTTCATGTGCCAACAAAACTCTTCCTACGACAAGAATCAGTAATCCAGGTAAGTAAAAGGACTCACTCGATCATAATCAGTGTTCCTGGCATTCGAGAACATCACTATAAACTGTCAACTGCAATGCTTAACTCAAACAATTGAACGAGCAGTTCTTTAAAACTGAAAAAATATAACGCAACTTAGAAGACAATTGATAAGCACCCTCCCTCAGGAATACTGTCACTCAGTTGTACCTCTGTGCTCCTCGAATGTCTTCATAGAGATTGTACTCCTTTTTGTCCATGGATCCAACACCCAGCCCCTTTTGGAGTAACGTAAAGACGATTTGGTTGATTAATAGCCCTTTAAACGAATGTAAAGATCTGACATGATATCCTATGTTTGAACTTCGAATTCATTCATCACTCACGGGTTTACGAAGAAACAACAGAATGACCAGCTGCCGGTTGGCTTGTCAGCTCAGTTGGC